GGGGGGGGGGGGGGGGGGGGGGGGGGGGGGGGGGGGCGGGGGGCGCGAGAGAGACGGGGGGCGCAACTTTCACTGGAGGAACCTTGTAAAGAAGTCTTGTTACCAACATTTGGTCTCTTGGTGGTTGCAGGGTGTAATGGCCTGCAAGTTGGATGGAAAGTTCCATTTGGCTTTTGCTGAGTGGTCTTAATAGGTCAAGTAAGAGATCAAAAAGTCAACCTTCTGGTTGCTGCAGGGGAGCCATCAACAGCCACCACAACCACATTCACCAGTCCATCTCAACTTCAAGCACCACCCTACTCCAAAACCACCCCAAACTGCAGCTTCTCAGGACCAAAACTGGTCCAAAAGAAATACCATAACAGGAGACCAGTACATTGAATGGTCTCAGGAATTTGCAAGCCACCACTTTCCAAGCCCCATGTCCATGGAACCAAAATAGCCCATTCAGCCCCTCGAGCCTGTTCTGCCACTCAATGAGATCATTGCTGCTTTGTGACCTAACTCCACATAGCTGCCTTTAGCCCACATCACTTCATGATTTGGCTAAATAAAAAAAATCTCTCAGATGTAAAATTAGCAACTGATCTAGCATCAACTGCCACTAATGGAAGAGAGTTCCAAACCTTTGTATATAGAAGTGCTTCCAAACACGTCTCTTGAATGGTCTTGCTCTAAAGTTTAGACTATGCCCTAGTTATACAATCTCCAACCAATAAGAATAGTTTATCTTCATCTCCCCTGCCTTTTCCTGTTGATACTTGAAGACTTCAATCAGATCACCCCTTAACCTTCTAAATTCTAAAGCAAACAAGTCAAAGTTGCACAACAACTGCTCAGACCTTAACTCCTGAAGTCCAGGTATCATCCTTCAAAATCTATGTTGTACTTCCCAAAGGCCAATAAATTCTTCCTAAGGTGAGGTGCCTTGATCTGCTCACATTATTCTAAGTGGGGTCTAACCAGGCTTTTGTATAGCTACAACATAACTTCTGTGTCCTTATACTCCAGTATAAAATTAAATGAACATTGCTTTGACAGGAATTATTCAACGTATTTTGTGCATTTTGCGTTTTTATTAAGAAATAAAAACTATATTGTAGTATTCCAAAATGTGTGCCACAATTTACATGGAAGGGGAATTTTTAGTGATTCAAAATCACTGCATATTGTTGAGATGCATATACAAGGCTCTAAATACTCCAAACAACTATTTCCAATTAGTCAGAACGTGACAGAGACAACAGCAGAGAGAGAGAGATGTATTGGGCTGCTCTCACAAATCTCACACAATTGCTGAATATAGAAATTGGAAGCAAGAGCAAACTAATTTAAACATAAGACAGGAAAAGAGAAAGTGGGTCATTGAAACACACATGCAAATTCACACTCATTCCTCTCTTCACTTGATCTATCACTGAAGACTGCAATTTTCAACAAAAATTCCATCCTCCATTTACCTGGCTCATACAACTTTCACTGTTCCAGGGAGATGGTGGCCTAATCACTGGCTCAGCATTTTCTGCAGTCTAAGAAAAACAGCATACAAAAATAGTTAGTAATGTAACAGTTGAAGCTTTTACTAGCAGCAATGATCTCAGAAAACATTCAGTAAAATCAGAAAAAATGTTGCGAAATACACCCCATCGGCAAATCTTGTCCTCAGCAATACATTCAAATCTCAGGCAGGTGTGCTTAGAAAAACTTCATATTAACAAAATACAACAACTACTACACAAAAATACTACTTTTCAACAAGCCTTATGCAACCTTAAACAGAAAAAAAATCTGACAAAAATTGAAATGCAATGTCAGACTGAATTACTATGGTAGACAGGTTAAACAAGCTAGTAAAATACAAGGTTATATCAAATATAAATCACTGAGAAATTGCATCAGAATACAAAAGTAATAAATTTATTCCAATCAAATATTCAGACATGAGCATATGATTTAGCTGGCTGCAAAATTAAGTCAGTACACCTAGCATGCAGGCTATATGGAAATGTGTGTGGAGAAATGTCTGTGGGCTTTCAGAGCAGTTTCATGATGGTGCTAGTGCTTTGTCTCTGCCATTGCTCTCGCATTGGTTCCTCATTTCAAGCCAGTGTTCAGTAATGACTTAACTGTTTCCAGGTGTGTTTTCACACACTACCATCTAATGAATTAACAGAAATGAAACACTGGTGAACTCCCCGATTGTAAAATATTAGTAAAAATCATAAAATCAATGCAACATAATGTGAGCTAAATTATTCAGCTCCTAAAACCAAAGGTCATAATGGCAAACAGACCGCATTACAGATTGCAATTTCAGAATACCAATAAAAATCCCAGGTTTCTACATGTTGAATTTTGAAATTCGACCAAAGCAATAAACCTTGCTGATCAATAATTGCAACCAAATTTTGCAACTAACCTAGAAAAGTATCTTCATGCCTTTGTGGCATGGGAATCAGAGATTCATGGATTCATTTATCTCTCCCTGGCATGTGGCTGGTCCATTGGGCTACCAATAAGTTGGCGACTGAGCTAACCACCACAGCATTTCCCAAGAGTATCAAAGAGCCATTACTGTTATGGGATAACAAAGTTGCATCCATCCTCTTATTGTTCCAAGATTTATTAGCTTTGGCTGCCTCATGAACAATTATTCCCATTAACAGCATAATTTTCTCTTTGTCTCAATTGAACTATCTGCCTTCTCATGTTTCCAAGTCATAAAAATAAGACTCTAAGATTGAGGAGCAGAATTAGACCAATCATCCCATCAATTCTGCTCCACCATTCAATCATGGCATGATGTGTAGAAACAACTCCATTCCCCTGTCTTCTCCCCATAATCCTTGATCTGCTTACTAATCAAGAACTTGTCTATCTCTGTCTTAAATACACTCATGCCTTGGCCTCCACAGCCTTCTGCAGCAATCAATTCCACAGATTCACCACCTCTGGCTGAAGAAATTCTTCCTTACCTCAGTTCTAAATAACTGTTCCTTCATGCTGAAGCTGTGCCCCCAGGTCCTAGTCTCTCCTGCTAGTGGAAACATTTTCTCCACAGCCACTCTATCCAAGCCTCTCAGTATTCGCTAAGTTTCAATCAGATCTGGACCCTCCCCCACCCCCCCAACCTTCTAACCTTCATTGATTACATGCCAGAGTCCTCAACTGCTCCTCATATGACAAGCCCTTCATGCTTGGGATCGCTCTTGTAAACCTTCTCTGCACCCACACCAATATCAGTCCATCCTTCCCTAGATACAGGACCTAAAAACTGCTCGCAATATTCTAAATGCGATCTCACAGCCTCAGCAGGACATCTCTACTCTTGTATTCTAGCTGTCCTGAAATGAATGCTAACACTGCATTTGCCTTCCTAAATGCCAAGTGAAGCTGCATGTTAACCTTAAGAAAATCCTGAACTAGGACTCCTAAGTCAGTTTGTGCTTCAAATTTCCAAAGCCTTTCCTTGTTTAGAATAGAGCCTATGTTTCCATTTTTTCTACCTCTCACTTTCACACATTGGCAACTGAGCTAACCACCACAGCATTTCCCAAGAGTATCAAAGAGCCATTACTGTTATGGGATAACAAAGTTGCATCCATCCTCTTATTGTTCCATCTGCTGCTTCATTGCCCACTCTCCTGGCCTGTCCAAATGCTTCTGCAGCCTCCCCACTTTCTCAACACTACCTATGAAAATGTCAATGTTAATTAAGTCTGAAAAATCTCCTAAGTCTAATAGACAAAAATCCTACATAGATCAAAAAGCAAAATATTGCAGATGCTGGAAATCTGAAACAAAAACAGAAAATGCAAGAAATTCTTTGATGAAAGGTTACCCCCCTCAAATGTTAACTGGTTCTTTCACAACAGATACTGCCAAAAAACTTGAGTATTTCCAGCATTTTAGTTGTTACCGCCAATAAACACAACCAGAATATTTATGTTCAACCGATTCCAGCTGTTACTTCAATTCAATACTACCATACAAAATTTTTCTTAGCTAACTTACTATTAATACCATCTTGAAGCTAATCTATTGTACATTTTATGAAGATCACTCAGATATCCAGCTTAACGTTGTCTACGTAGAGAAAATAGTGATAGAGGTACAAATTTATGCCATTATACATTTTTCACATTTATCAATCCAACAATATGATGGTAACACATTACCGTATTGCAAAGTTTAAACACAATTACAACATATATCATACATATTACCCTGAATATGCTCAAAGAGACATATATTTCAATTCTAATATGTACCCTGGTACCAAGCCTTAAATTTCTAATCTTAGCAGGGTCTCTGGACCACCAAACATGTTAACTACTTTTATAGATTTCAGTCACAATAAGGAGCAGAGGCCAGCAATATTGTAGGGGTGGCATTAAACATGAAGGAACATGACAAGAAAAAGCCAATGCCCAATGGCCCTGACATAACCACTGTTACAGCAGCGCTAACATTACAGTGCTTAAATTACCCTGTTCCTGCTCTATCCCAGCTATCACCATTTTACAGAGATCATCAAGGAGAGTTGTCTGCTGAATCAAACAAAAGTAGGTACCGTCTCCCCATGTTTAATTAGCAATGAGCAGGTTAACCAATAAGCTTTAGAGAGACAGGTGGATGTCTCCTTCAAAATCGATCCTTTTTTGGCATCTGCAGCTTGCTAATGGAGTAAAGGTGAAGCCCAGGCTGTAACTTGGACAGATATTTCCACAGTGCTGTGGGGGGGAGCAATAAATGCCAGACTGAAGATACACAAACAAGGAAGATTTGAAGAGATGAGCAATAAGCTAGCTGATAACAGACACAAACCTTGGAGAATCCTCAATAGCTGTTGAGATCACTGGGGTTGCCCTTATTCTTGCACAGGATCACAAATTTTACATCATGATTATCCTAAGAAACGTAACCCGGCCTCCAGATGAGACAGAGAAGTTTGTGCCGATGTGCTGTACAAGTGCTCATTTCCTTTGCTTGATGGGTTCAGGTGCTACAGTGCCATAGCCAATGGCAAACAATTCAAATGCTTTGCTAACTTCCTTCCCTATGGGTTTGCTATCCAGTTCTTCCAATGGCCGACAGGTTATCTGTCGTCTTCAGTACATCCTCAATGATAGTGCTGTCCACAGAATAGCTTATTACTCCTAATTGCTGGTTCCAGTGTTCTGTTAACATTCTGCAGCAAAACAAACTGCCTTCTCTGTGGCAGGAACCTGACTAAAGTTTATGGGGAATTCGATCTACCTAAATGTCAGGATTGCCACTCAATCTCTCAAGATCAGTTTAAAGGTATGTAAACCACCACATGTGGCACCAAGTTGCTGGCACAAATTGGCAGAAGTACTGCATCAGTCCACCTTGGAGTTCAAAACCAGATACTATTGTCAGGTTTACTCCCTTCGCCTTCAACTCTCCCAAAAGGTTCACAAGACAGAGGAACTGCTTGCTGATTGCTAGGAGTTTTGGTCACAAGCGACAAGACATGTCCAAGTGCCAGTAGCCCTGCACACTGCCTGTTTAGGGGCTAAACCTTCTGCAGCCTTGGTCTGGGACTATGAGGGACCTAGTTTCCATGAGAAAGCAAAGGGAGGGCTTTGCAATGGAATCACAGAATTGCTTCACACATCAGACTCACCGATTTGCATTGCTACTAGCCAGCAATAGAGCTTGAAAATGAGAACCAACTAACTGCAAGTATGCCAATTCTCTTCACCCACAGACTATATACGAACTAGGAGCAGAAGTAAACAAATCAGCCCCTTGTGCTTGCTCCGCCATTTAATAAAATCATGCATCACATCTACATGATGGGCACACCTTTCTGTCCAGATGACTCTATAATTCTGAAACCTCACCTGGGATGTTGGACTTTGTATAATACTGGGTTCATCCACGGGCATCTCTTTTCCACCTTCAAATAGTCGTCGACAGCAGACCAAAGTAAACGGAGGAGCAGCTTCTTTCAGAAAGGAAAACACCTCACGCCGAGATTTTCCATACAACTGTGCTCCATTCACCTGTAGGGCGAAACAAACATCAAGTTGATAGTTTAATCCAAAGAGTAATAGATTTTTTGACAGGCGTACGTAATATACTCAAAATAAGGTCCGTAAGAGTTTCTTAAAAAAAAACTTGATTTCCAGTCCCTTTAATCAGCACTTTTGAAAAGCTATTCTCTTGAAATAATCCCAAAAATCACATTTGCAGTTACTTTTCAGTTCTACTTAGACAAATTCTTATATCACAATGTATTTTCAAATGCACTTGGCAGACAAACTTAACTGACTAAACCACTCATCAGACTAACAGCTTCTTAATCACATTAGTCATTCAAATAACTGGACCAGAACTACTCTCCTACTCCACCTAAGTGTCTTGCTTATTAACCCGATAATGTTATTTTAATAATGTGATTGTGTTACTTTCACTTTCACTTTCACTGACTCGTTAATTAGTAAGTTGAGAAGAATGGAAGTTGGCAGAATGGCACTTGCATTAGACAATTGAGAGTAGTAAAACTGTTTCATGACAGTGTAACCTGAAAAATTATAACTATGGTGGCTCCTATAAAGCCACTGAAATAAAGCTCACTATTAATGCGTCTGAATAAGTAAAGCTTAGCCATATGCAACACCAGCAGAAAAACAAAGAAATCTGTGCCAAACATAAATCAAAATCGTTTTGTTTTTCATAAATAGCAAGCTAAAACATGTGGTGCCTAGAATCTAGAATAAGTTTTCTTGCTCTTGATGGACTCTGTGACTTAAGCAATAAGTAAATATGAATAATATCTAATGAACAAAGATTTCTTAAAGTTACACACAAGAAACATTAAATTATTTCACAATGATTACCTGACTCTTGATTTTCATGTCACCTTGTTTACCAAAAATAATTCTGACCAAATTGCAGAGTAATTTCCAATGTTTACTGACTTACTAATTACAAAAAAAAAACTATACCTCTAAAATTTCATCTTCTAGTTGTAATAATCCAGTTTGCCCTATTGGCCCATCAGGAACAATTGATGATATGCAATGGTGTCCATCAAAAGAGTCCAGATCCACTCCAAACCTCAGGGTAGGAACTGGTAACAGCTAGATTAAAACAAAGTCAAAAATTTGGACAAGTATGCAAAAAGACCAATGTTCAAGTTTTCCATCCAGCTATGTTCAAGTTCCATCTCCCTCAATGGCTCATGTACCATTGACTGTAGACAAAGAACAACATAGTTATTGGTTTTGCCTCACCGACAGCACTTTCTGCTGTACGGTCTTCATAAATTGTCCTTCAGATGAAATGTTAATCAGAAGCCTAGTTTGATCTCTCAGATGAAAAATAACATTTTCAAGAACACAATTTGAAGAAGGGCAGAGATTGTTTTTCTGATCCCTTGGTCAACATTTATTCCTCTAACATCTCTTGAAACAGATGAATTGGACATTAATTCCATCACTGCTGTTGAACCTGCTGTGGGCAAGTTGGCTGCCAATTCATGAAGTGATTTGCTTTCTAAAATGAAACCCAAAGAACTGCGGATGCTGTAAATCAGGAACAAAAACAAAGTTGCTGGAAAAGCTCAGCAGGTCTGGCAGCATCTGTGGAGGAGAAAACAGAGTTAACGTTTTGGGTCCGGTGACTCTTCCTCAGAACTCTAAAATGTCTCATTGGCAGTAAAACGTTGAGGACAATGGTGAGGCCATTAAAGGTTTCCTTACAAGGGCATATGTTTTGTGCTTTCTCGATTGCAAGTCGGACTTAGCAACAGAAATTCAATTTTAAATTCAAATTATTTGACAATAACTTGGTCCTAAAATGTTTAAATGTTGATGTCCTATATAACATATAGTTATTAGGTAACTGGGTTGTATGTGGTTATTTCTTCCTCGGAGTAATAAACTTCTGCTGTGCTGTTAAAGATCATCTGCAGCCTTGTGTGGAAATGTTTCAGTGACTGACCACCATCTTAAGCAACTGCAAAAGTGAAATATATGCTCTATCAAACCAGGTTTCAATCTGTGATTTGACATGTGCAATATCATCATCAGCAGGGATCATAACAGTGACCATAATAGCTGTCAGTGATTGTTGTAAAAACCGATCCAATTCACTAATGTCCTTTAGGAACAGAAATCTTTCATCCTTATCTGGCTTACATGAGACTCTTAAACACTCAGCAATAGTTTTGACCTGCCCCGCAAATGGCGAATCAATTCAAAGTCAATTCAGGATGGGCAACAACTGCCAGAAACACACACATGACATGGAAGGCTAAAAAAATACACATGATTAAGGTATCACATGTCTTGTATTTTCAAGAGATTAACAGCTTTTGACATTATTTTTGTAATACGTTACCTCTGCACTTGCAAGTCAATTGTAGCTATGCTTAATTCCTGCGAGTACAATCATTAACTGTCTGAATTATATAAAAAATTAGAATTCTGTCTTCGCCTTTTATGGTAATAGCTCTTCCTGGATTATTTTCTCTCCTCAGACTTGATTCTTACTTGATCTCTAGGTTATGCATCCAACTCCATACAATTGGTTCAAGAAATTGATCATTCACTTTGGCCTCTTGGCAACCTGATTTGGTAATTTTCTGCATTGCCATTTTATTTGATATCATTGTCCATAGCAGTGTGAAGCTCTTTATCTATTATTAATCAGGCTATTACACGGAGCTTCAACTGTTCTGCAATTTTGAAAGGCAGAAACCAATGTCCTATTTTCAGACTTTTTATTTGCAGGCTATGCAGTTTTTTCCGATTTAGCCTCTGAAAAGCAATTTATCATACTGAGTTCTCAAGATATAATACCATTTAGACATGAACAACATTTCAATATCTGTACTAGTTCCTGTGGATATCCCAAAGAGCAACCTATTCTTCAATTCTTCAGCTTTTCAACAATTCAACTTGCTAAATCCAACAAATAAAACTTGGAGCAATAGTCATCAAATGCACAGTACTTTTAGATTGTGAACTCATACAAACGCACAGCATCCTTTGACAGGTTTATTCTGGGAATTACATCCTCACCGGAAGGTTATTTTACATGCTACTTATTAGCCTGGTGAAATAAACATGACCAAATTTTCTCTAGTATTATTGCCTGCCTTTTTGTGTTTGCCTTTTCCAAGCACATTGCAAATCTTTAGTGTCGTTACACATTCAGTCAAAGGTTTTGCTCTTTGAAGCATTAACTTAAAATTTCCACAAAGTGAAAGGTGAAAGACATGGAACAATTATGATTTAATAAATGACTAAGTACCCACTTCAATCATGAAGGCTCTGAAAATTTTGGATGTCATTACCTTGGAGTACTTCTGCAGTTCTATATCATGGTCAATGTCAATCTCCAAATCAAGCATCTAATTATAAATAAGAAAAGCAGTGAGTTAATTTGAGAGAATTCAACATTTTAACCTTCCATTGATGTTTCAGGCCAACATTCTGAGTAAAAGTTACTACACAATGGAAGCAAGTAATCGTAAGATGGTATCTTAATTTATTGAGTGAATGAAATAATCTCTCAATTATTATAGGAAGTTATATATACAAGATCATAATTTTAGGTTTGCCATGATCTCCATTCGTAATAAAAATGGTCAACATTTTTGTCATTGCAAACTACAGTCCCCAATTTAAACTTTTTTTTTGGTTTGTCAGTGATCAGGATAGAGAAGCCAGATGACAATAATCTCAAATGGGTAGCCAAGATTCCTGGTAGAAGACCTTATTTGGATATAGAGGTTTAGGGAATACAGAAAGATGGTGAATTGAGGATAAAAGGAGCTCCAGTCAGCAAAGATGCAAAAGCTAGGAAGGATATCTTGAAGAGAAGCAAACATTGTCAACAGCAATTCATTTTCCTAACAACATTATACCGAGCATTTACTGACACCAAAAAATAAACATAGGAAGTATGGAGCAGATGCAGACTGTGGAACAAATCTGGATAAATATTCTAACACTCATGGGATACATGAAGAATAGAAATTATATTCTTCGCTGCTCAATTCACAGAAGCTAAGTGAAGCAGGATTTTTCAAAATACACAGGAACCAATAAAATTACGTGCTACTTGTCTGCTTGCGATGGTTAAACTCAGTCATTTGAAACATAAATATCAAATGTATATACAAATAGATGACATGGCAATACATCTTCTCTCGCTTATGTATCTGCTCATCAATTCAGTTGTCTAATCTTGGAATGTGCAAGTCTGACACGTTAAAAGCCAATCCAAACACAATTAACACAGAAGAACAGACCTTTCAGCAAGCTACAGACCTGAAGTACTAACTCTGCTTCTCTCTCTACAAAAGCTGCCAAACCAATACAATTCTAGCATTTTAGTTCTTATTTCAGAATTCTGGAATCTGTGATATTTTGCTTTCAAAAATCTGCATACAATCCATTTTAAGCAAGATAAATTGCATACTAGAATTAGTTTAAAAGATAATTCACAACATCTATTAAACTGAATTGAAATCTTTCTCAAGTTGGACAGTGGCTCTCCATAAGATTAACTTGGATGAAATATTGCACTACTTAATCACACTCTAGGCTGAATCTTACATTTATTTTGGTCAAGTATCAAGTTTCGTCAGGTTTTTTGAAGGATTTCTCATCATGAGGCCTTAGTGAGATCTCTCCATATCTTTTGTCATTAACATCCTATCTGGCTAAATGGCATTCCTGTTACCCGATTCTATCCCCATCTTACCACATGCCATTCCCACAACAATTTACCACTGCCAAGTTTTGCCCCCATTAAAGAATCAAGCTAGCCGGCGGGCTGCCCAACATTCGACTCCTCACTCCTCCTGTGGAGGGAATCCTGACTTTAATAGCATGAGAGGCTGACTGAAAGTGGTAAAAGTGCTGGCCAGGAATCAGAGGCTGCCCTTTAATTACTCTGTGTTGACCCCATGACCAAAGCCTATCTGCCTTAACCTGACAAAAGGACAGTTGATAATCACAGCAAGCTTCCTGACTTTGTGTCTGTGCTCAAGAGCTTGGTAATACAGCAGTACTATGAGCTTGGTATCTCTGGTTGAGGGAATAAACCATGAAAAGGAACGGCAAGGCAGTGCAAAGCAGCGACACAGTAGTCTCCAGTTGGCTCAATGTGAGTGAGTGCTATAACAGTAAGTGTACAGGTAGGAGCTGTATTCTGGTCAAGGCCATGAGCTGGGTGCATGTCCCTGAACAAAGTGTCCTTGCTGCAGTATTACAAGACAGTTGCAGTTGCACCCCAAGGTGCTTCACTGAAATGCAGAAGTGTTCTGTAGGTGGATCAGAGATGTATTCTAAGTGTTCTCAGAGGTTGGCATGACAGATGCTAATGTCTGTGGACATGGATCATGCAGTGAGATGTTGGTGCCTGGTTTCCAACATGGCAGTCCTTTAAAGCATACAGCGAGCCAAAGTCACCACCTCTGACTTCCGTAACAAGAATTCTCAGTGTCTAATTTGTTTGACGCGTTTGGTAAGATTGGAAGCTACATATTAATGAGGCAGGACATGCCATTATAAAAGTAGTTAACAAGCAATGCTGTTGCCCAGTAAGAATTTCACCTCAACATTCACCAGTTACAAAAAAGATGCTGGAAGTTGCGCTCATTGTCAAGAACAGTCTCGCTACTTCCATAAATCATGTCATAGTCCACCATTAGTTGCTTAGGCCCCTATAAAATTGCATCCCTGTTTCTAAACAGAAACCACATTCCACAATTTCCACAAAAAAAAATGAAGGGAGTTATCATCACAAACTTTAATGGATTGTATGGTTACTTCCTAACACTCAATTCTTGTCAATTGAATGGTGCAAGAAAATCATACCATCACTTCATACTCTGGTCCCAACAAATTTTCCCATCTGGATTTTGATTCTTCTCTCTTTGTAATAGATCCGGATCCTGGAATTAAAATGAGTCACATTCATTTGCTATTACTATTTATGCAATTTTTTTCAAAACAAACCTGTAAATTAATTCATTAAACTGTAATTGCAGATATAAAAATGGTACACTAGGAACATTACAAATTTTACCTGCACAACACGCAATTAAAAAAAAAAAAATCTTCCTACTTACTTCCTCCTTTCTCACGGCACGGTAGCTCAGTGGTTAGCACTGTGGCCTTCCATCACCAGGGACCTGGGTTCGATTCCACCCTTGAGCGGCTGTCTGTGTGGAGTTTTCACATTCTCCCCGTGTCTGTGTGGGTTTCCTCCGGGTGCTCCGGTTTCCTCCCACTGTCCAAAGATGTGCAGGCTAGGTGGATTGGCCATGCTAAATTGCCTGTAGTGCTCAGGGATGTGTAGATTAGATGGGTTATAGGGGGACGTGTCCGAGTGGGATGCTTCAAGGGTCGGTGTGGACTTGTCGGGCCGAAGCACCTGTTTCCACACTCTAGGGATTGTATTCTATAAAAATTATCCAAAGCCCCAATCACACCTTCCAGGTGATGTAGCAATTTGCCTGCCCTTCACTCAATCTAAAAAAAAAGTCTTCTTTATTCAGTGCTCACATGTAATCTCCTCTATGCTGGGGAGATGTAACATAGACTGGGTGACTGCTTCGCAAAACATCTTCATTCTATCCACAAAAATGAGCTTCCAGGTGCCTGCCACTTTAATGTGCTGCTGTGTACCCCGGCCAACATCTGTCTCAGAATTGCTGCAGTGTTCCAGCGAAGCTCAGTGCAAGCTGGAAGAACGGCACCTCATTTTCCGCATGGGGTCCCTGCAGCCTTCCAGACTCAATGTCAAGTTCAATAATTTTAGGGCCTGAGCACCTCCTCCCATGTCCTTATCCCAATCCCCATAGACCAAGCTGTGTTATTACATGGGCTGCTACCACAAACAAACAATTGTCAGCCTCTCTTGGTCTCTCCATTATCAGCTACTGATTTTCCCAGGCTGACCTTTACCCATTCCTTGTCTATTCAATGATTGTCCTTTGTCTCTGGGGTCCTCCTCCACCTATCATTTACTCCTCTCCACTCCCCGCTATCCTATCTTCAGCACATATATCAAAATTGCCCAGCTCCAATCAATTCTGAAGGGTCACTGGACCCCAATCGTTAACTCTGATTTCTCTCCACAGATGCTGCCAGACCTGCTGAGGTTTTTCCAGCAATTTCTGTTTTTATTTCTGATTTCCTGCGTTCGCAGTTCTTTAGAGTTTTCTTTAAATAAATTTTCTTAACTAACGCTAACCAAGTTCTGCTTAACTTTAGCTAGGAGTGCTTTGAGCTCTTTCTAAAATACGTACACTATCAAGGATTCTCCAGGGATTTCTTAAGCTGACTGCTCCTTCATCTTCATTGGCAGTCCCTTTGGAGTAAGGATCACTTCGACTACTCTCGAGTTTTTGGTCCCGATGGGACTATAAAATTCAAAGCTCGATCCACACACTCTGCTATTGGTTATGCAAGTAGTTGAAGTATTTTGATGTTTGCACCTTCTTCTGCCATTTGTTCTTGGCCTTCACCTGGGCCTGATGGACCTTCAAAATATTGGCAACTTTACAGAAAATTCTTCTGCTGTTTGGCAAATCATGAGTAGCGGGGATAGACACTCAAGATAGGCTGCCTTTTCAAAGTACCTATCACCTAGCAATGGGCTGATTGGATAAGGTCAGTACCTTGCTTGTCCAAACTGCTGAAAGGATATGCAGTTTGAAGTGATTCAGCAATCTTTGGGACATACAGCTGCCCTAACCTCCTATCCCTTGAATGTTCCTGATATGTAGATGCCTTTCTTTTTGTGTGAATCCACAGTTTTTCCATATAATCCACAGAATTACCTTATTTACTTAAAGGGCTTGGTGCCATTTTGCACCCAAATTCACATCAGAAATGAATGCCAAACAAACTCCATTTCCTTGAAATCCTAGTTGAGAAATCGGCACTCTACTTCTGTCTACCACAAACCTACCTTCACTGGTGAATATACATGTTGGGATCTGACAGTTCTATGTGATACAAGTTTGGCTTTACTGACAACCTCATAAATAAGGCCTGTGCTATTTGTTCACCCAGCAAACATGATGCTGAAATAGGGCATTTCAAAGCCAACTAGTGGACTAATGATGAGGTTATTTTACACTACAAATTGTGCAAACTCATGAAAGGCCCTAAGGCAGTCACTCTTTGTCCTGAGAAATGTTCAATCTACCAAAAGGAATTTTTCCATCATTCTGATCGGTATGTTCCTGCTGACCAGGAATTGTTGAATCACAAAATCAATTGCCAGCAGGTATGAAATTCAAAAGAGTTCCATTAATTAAATTTGGCAAAGAAAAGAAATTGAGATTATATCAGCAGTAGTAGAAGATGCCAAGAGTTTTAGTATTTAAGTCGACTTTCTGACCCTACAACATTATATCTCTTGAATACAGAATCTAATTTTAAAAACTGAGTCCACATTTGTTGGCCCATAGGCAGAAGTCTGAAAATCAACACTCCCTCTGATGAATGAATATTCTTGTTATTTACCATGGATCTCTCAAAGGAAGCAGTCATCTTCAAATATTTTGGGGCATAATTCTCAACCCTTTCCTCAAAAAGTTACCTTGAATGAATGTCACAGAATATAGATCACAGAATCTCTACAGAGTGGAAGCAGGCCATTCGGCCCATTGAGTCCACACCATCACTACAAACAGCATCCCACCCAAACCTACTCCCTACTCTATTCCTGTAACCCTGATATTCCCATGGCTAATCCACCAAACCTGCATATGCCTGGACACTACGGGCAATTTAGCATGGCCAAATCCACCAAACCTGCACATCTTTGGACTGTGGCAGGAAACCAGAACACCCAAAGGAAACCCACACAGACATGGGGACAATGTGCAAACTCCACACAGACAGTCTCCTGAAGGTGGAACTGAACCCGGGGCCCTAGCGCTGTGAGGCAGCAGTGCCAACCACTGAGTTACCGTGTCACCCTGTGTGTAATCTCTTAAATTTGCTTTGAACGTAATTCAGCTGTCAAACATACAGTCACTTCTCCCACAACACGTATCTTCCACTCTGCCAAATGAAATAGAATTGTAATGGTCAAAGTCACCAATGGTTTTCCCCTTTATTGAACATCCATTCCAATTTTTCTTTACAATTTTTGGCATGATTGAGCACATCATTTTGAAACAACCCTCCATTCTTAGTCTCTCGTTGAGACTGCATTTCTACCTGTGCCAATACAACTATCAAACCTCTGAAATAGTTTCTCGTCCAGAACACACAGGTCATTTATAGAGTACGGATGACTTCATTTGCAACATGCCGTGCCTCAGTTATGTCATTCATAAATTTCGATCATATTTCAAATGCATGTGTTAGTCTGTACACAATGTTCCAAAACAGTAAATGACTAAATAACCAGTGAATATTGGAATAATAATCTAATGCTGTTTTTTTTTAAATGCTGTTTGAAGGAGAAGGATTTGCCAGGAGTTACCACTTTTGATTTTTCTTCTGGTAAGATCATAGGATCTTTTACATTGACTTGTACAAGTACATAAAGTTTCAGTTCAACATCTGATCTGTGCAGAATTTCACACAATGTAATACTCTCATGGCTGAATTGAACTGACATCATTATATTATGTGCTCAAGCATGTAGCAAGCCTCGATCACAGTTGAACTCTTAATAAACCTAGTCCCCATCCAGCAGCATTACTTAAACAGTGTAGTAGAACAATATGAATAAATAAATGTGAATCATTGTTTTTTGTGGCGATTTGACAGTCTCAAAAGGATGTGAACCTGCTGCTCTATAACAACTTATTTGCAGCTGCTAACTTTTCCACTTGAATTAAATTATTAAGAAACAAGTTTAAAAAATTGTCAATGAAAATAAAAGCTCGGTTACCATCACTGGATAAAAGTAACATCACTGTGCTACACATGATTATTTTAATAAAACTAATTATTGCATTCTTAACAAAACTACTTGAGTGTTATAGACAGCTACGCTATGGCTTAAGATAGTTTTATAAACACAGATAGTAACTGAAACTATTATTGTTTCCAATATAGTTGAGATAATAGATTATTCAGTGTGTTTGATTATCAGCCATTTTGTTAAGAACATTACAACAAAAGAAACAAATGTTAGCTGCAGGCTATTCAGCCCCTTGAGTCAACTCCCATCATTTAGGTTTTAAATGGGAAGACCTTTATTTTAAAACTGTGCCCCCTAGTTTAGATCCCTCATGGCAGGAAAACATCTGCTCAACATTTACACTGTGAAGCCACCTCAAAATCTTATGTTTTAATAAGATCTATGCTCATTCTTCTGAGCTCAATAATTATAAACCCAACTCACTGAATCATTCCCCCCTCCCCCCAGGGATTAATTGAATCAATCTTGCTTCCAATGCAAATATATCCCTCCTTAAATAAGTAGGCAAAAATCTGTACACAGTACTCCAGGTATGCATTCACCATTGGCCTATATGATTTTACATAATAGACTACATCTATGATAGAATATAGTTACTGATATGTACAACCTTACACATAATCGAAGCACTGGCAGGTTAGGTTTCTTCACTCTTGAAAAATGAAGATGGAGAGGGAACAAATCAAGCTACAAAATTTATCAAAGGTTTTAATGAAGTTGATGAAGCTGTTTCATCTTGTGGAGAAGATCATAATTGAAGGCCTTCAATGTAAAATAGGCACAAAGAAATCCAATAGGGAATTCAGAAGAAAACTCTTTCAACAAAGAGTGATGAGAATGTTGAACTCAGTGACAGGTAATGGTTGAAACAAAAGTATAGATGCAGTTAAACAGAAACAGTGACAAGCTTATGAGGGAGGAAATAGATCATTATGATGGTAAACAGTGGAAGGAAGCTCAAGTGGAGCATAAACACGAGCATTTACTGATTGTGCTGAAAGACCTGTTTCTGTGCCATTTATCTTATGAAATCCTAGAATAGTTATGTAAAAGAACCTCAATTCAATTCTATTGCAACCAACTCAAACGTGCAAATGAATAGTTCGAGATTCAAAGAGCAATACATTGAACAGATTGCAAACTATCACTTGCATATTGCACAGGACCAAATGTTAAGCAAGAAGAGTATAAACAAAAACATTTAGACATAAATTTGTTCGCCAAAAATAAAGGCACAACTGCAGTCCTTAAAACAGTGACAGAAATTACTGTAGTGTACTCTTCATTTTTACTGAATTAGCTTTTAACAAAAATCAGAAGGAACTATGCTGAAATCCCACACTATGTGCGTGACTCTAAAGTCCTTTGAGCTAGACTAGCACTTCTTCAATTCTATAAAAAAAAGAGTCAGGAAGATCTGTCTGCAATCCAAGCTTTCTTTCAAAATAATCCATAGTCAATCTCAAAAGAGTTAACCCTACAAAGTGCTCCAGACTGATATCAGCGATTTCACAGGGCTGTCTGCGTGCTAAACTAATCAGTCTTTCCTAAGAACTTGTGTGAGTGTTCGTGTGTGGTGAGGAATTATTTATTCCATAAACCTCTCAAAGGAGATTTGAAAGTTGTCAGAGATAGCTTGGGAAGTTACTGCAGTCCATTTTGTAAATGGTATACAATGCTGCCACTGAATGCCAATGATGAAGGAATGAATGGTTAAAGATGAACAGTCCATAAGGTTGACTGCATTGTCCTGGATTGTGTCAATCATCTTAAGCGTTGTTTAAGTCACACTCATCCAGGTTATTCCAGTACACTCCCGACCTGTGTCTCGTAATCATGGACAGGCTTTGGGCAGTCAGGAGTTGAGTCACTCATGATAGAGATTCCTGCTTCTGATATACCCTTGTAGCCACAGAAAAGAGCCACAGTGGTTTATTAACCTGAATTGCTACTTTTAATGATTTGTGAATCTATTCATCTAGATCCCTTTGCACCTCTATCCCATTTATTTTCCAAAATGCACCACTTCAGTCTTATCTGTATTGGTATTCATTTGGCACTTCACTGCTCACAGATTACAATGATTCAATTAAACATCCTTTATGCCTTTTAACACCTTCAATAAAAAGAGTTCCTTCGACCTACCAGCTCTTCCCAAAATTATGGCCACAAACTTAAGTATTTTGACCACATTTGATTTTGTAAGTTGAATTGAAATTGTGCAGTTTGGGGGTGCAGTACATCTTAATTCATATCTCAGTTGTATCAAACAGCTATATTTATTTTTTCTGTCTCTGCTTCAGACACCACTCACTCAGTTTTCTTTAATTGGAAAAAAAAGAACAAATCCCAAAAAACTTGGAGATAGAGAGGGAGCAAAAAACATGTCCTTATCCCAACCCTGACACACCCAGGCTTTGTCAGCACATTGACTGCTACCAAGCCAAGCCATTGTCAGCCACTAATTGTCCCGATTAGCAGTTATTGATTCTCCAGGTGGACCCATTCCTTTGTGAAAACCGAAAGAATTGTGGATGCTGTAAATCAGAAACAGAAGTCGCTGGAAAAGCTCAGGAGGTCTGGCAGCACGTGTGAAGAAAGATGCAGAGTTAACGTTTCGGGTCTGGTAACCCTTCCTCAGAACTTTGACCCTTCCGAGGAATGGTCACCAGACCTGAAATGCTAACGCTGATTTTTCCTTCACAGATGCTGCCAGACCTGCTGAGCTTTTCCAGCAACTTCTGTTTTTTGGATGGATTCCTTTGTCGGCCCAAAAGTTGGAAGTTACATTACACAGGATTATAGTCCAACAGACTTATTTGAAGTCACAAGCTTTTGAAGCGCTGCTCCTTTGTCAGGTGAATTTCATTATTGTGATTTCAAATAAACCTGTTGGACTGTAACCTGGTGTCGTGTGACTTCTGATTTTGTCCACCCCAATCCAACACCGGCACCTCCAGATCATTGTTGAAAACATTGTTTACTCCTGCCCCCAACTCATCTTCAGCGTATACACCAACCTTTTCCTCGGTACATTCACGTCTGAAGATGGCTCACCACACCCAAAACATTAACTCTGCTTTCTCTCCACTGATGCTGCCAGACCTGCTGAGCTTTTCCAGTAATTTCTGTTCGTGTTTCCGAGAGTGTAGTACTCTGTCAGTATTGTACTCAAACGTCCGTTTAGATTTTGTACTAGATCCATGGAATGATGTAACACAAACATTACAGAAACACACATACCATCAATTTGATATTGCAGTTCTTTCGTTTGTGTACTTCCCTGCTCCCCAACCACAGAACAAATGCTACTTTCAGTGATAACTGCATTTGCTATGGGAGTTACATTATCTGGTTCAGCTGTAAAATAAGAAAAAGAGTATATTCTTAAAATCGTGTACAATAAAGCCACTTGCATAATTAATATCTGCATTATAAACCTCTCAGTATTAAAGTTTCTTTTCAAACTTGTCATTTGAAACAATCCTATATTGATCTGGATTCAATTTTTTTCATTGTTGGAGTGAACGAGGCTCTAGCAAGCATAATTTTAGGAAAATCCAAGTTTAATTGAAAGTAGTATACAATATTCTACAGAGCATTTGACATCCTCTGGTGGAACTGACAACCATAAAAACAACGGACACTATGAAAACAAGAACTGTGCAACTATGAGCGCTGTTTGAAGTGAGATATATCCATTATTTCAATTTCTGAAGCTTTCTAAACATAATTAGGTAGACTTATAGCTTTTCTCCTCTTAAGATTCTAAGAATTATAAACCTTTTATTTTTGCAATGCAAAGTATCATTTTAATTCTATGCCTCTCAGGTTCTCAGCAAATAAGATAGATGACAATATTATTTTTAAAATGTCTGCAAAGCAATTTTATTGTGTAAATTTTATTGGAAACTGTTTAGTAACTGTTGATTTGCGATTGGGTTTTTAGACTTACCAATTGTAAATGGGCTAAGTCTATGCCTGTTCGATTTTAATTTGCTCCCTGCCTGACACAAGTGTTATATAAAATCAGACATGAATGTGGCTTACAATTGTGCGTATGAAGTTGTAATTAACTGATGTAAAATACAGTATATTTGGACCCCACACAAGTCAAAACGATTCCATTGGAAAACAAAGGGGTACATGAGAGATGCACTTAGAGATGTTTTCCTAACATGACATAGCCACATAAACATACAAGATCAACATGTGCTGGGAAAAAATAAAGGACTAATGACGGCAATTACTTTGAGCAATTTTTCACTGAACTGTCCTAGAGGATAATGGAAAAATAACAAACGTTCCCTGAAGTCTTTTTAACTTAAAGAATAATTTGCCTTTCTTAGAGTATGTTTTATTATACCTAATGCATAGCACATTATTACTGAGGCTTTCAACACAGTTCAGTTGATTGAATTTCTATGGCTGGTACATTTTGTTTGAGTAGATGAATGTTTATAATGTTTTTCTATCCGGTGAATAATTATTTTTGCTCAATTTGAAGTATAATTGAAAGCCATGTGGAAACTGTATTTTTTTATTAAATCCATAACCAGCATTAAATGTGAAATATTTGGAATTTTGTTAAACAGTTGTTTATTAAACAAAATGAAGGTACAATGTAAACTACCTTTTTGAAAATATCCATGAACACTATCCATCTTTTTCCTTGCTACTGTCAGATTAACAGTTTTCCCAGTGTTTCGTAAAGCATCAATCCCTTCTTGATTTGTAAATTCCTGAATATTAACTCCATCAACCTTTAACAATGATTAAAAAAAAATGGTAATAAATACTGTCAGTCCTCACTGAAATCAATAGTTATGTTCCTGAAAATCAGACTTCAAATGAAATTTTTACCAAATCAAATTTTTCTAATTTTTTCAAACTAAACAGTGTACTTAAGAGTCTGTTGGGCATTTCACATCAGAAAAATATATTAAAACATCATACTCTATAAATGGAAATACAATACATTTTAACATTACGAGATTGGTAAAAGAAAAGAAAATGTTAAGACAAAATAAATTTATTTGTCTTAAAAAAATTGGTAACTTACTATTTACCTCTCACTCATGACCAATGCTGCTCACTATGGATCCTGCTTCCTGAACTACCACTTGCCACACATCCCCTCTCTTTACCTTGCTGGTCATTGCATACCTTTGTCTTACCATCCCTCTGTAGTACAACCGCATCTGCTCCTTAAAACACTCTTTCACAGCTAACCCTCAAATTTGCAACTTGACCCACTCCCTAACCCATGATCCTAATTCTGATCCTCCAACTGCAGCCTCTCCCACTCCCTAACTTGTCCTCTTGCCCTCACCTCCCAAGTTGTGGCTAATGTCATACCCTGACTCATCATCTTGCTAAGCCTCCCATTTCCCAACTGTTCTGCTTGCTGCTTCAGTCTCCTGACCCTCACCGTGAGCAAGGGCTCGGGGGATTGTGGGTCAGGAACACGCCTCGACCTAACTCTTAAAATTAAGTCAGTTAAGAAAAAGAACTCCGTGGCATAATTAGCCTTCAATATCAAGAAGTAAAAAATGGTTTGCACAGCACTAATGGGTTTTCAATTGGTGACTCTGGAAGTAGCACTCTGACCCCAGGACACACTGCAGTGAGGTGTGGTGGAAATCTGCGCTGCTTTGATATGGAGTGAAAGTAAACTCATTCCTCAATTCACACATCATTGTGTGCATGCATTTACTTTTTAAAAAGAATTATAACAGTCCAGCATAGCACTTCTGCATCATTCAGGATAGCACTTCCACAGTCTCAGAAATCAAACTTCACATTACATCACGAACTGAAACTTGGTGTTACCTTGAATGGGAGAGGGAAATGTCAAGCAAAAGAATCAGGGTGAGGTTAGTTAATTGGGCAAAGGAATGGAACATGCAAATGTGGAGGAGAAATTGACAACTCGGCCCCTTGAGTTTGTTCTACCCTTCAATAAGAACATACTAATCTCATTACGCCACAATCCCACCTGCCCCTGTCACCTCCTTGCCCATCTATGAGATGGCTCCTTCAGAGCAGCTTGTGGTAGACCTCACTAGGGAACAGGTAACTCTGAATTTGGTGATGAATATTGAGGCAGACTTGATTAGGGAGCTTAAGGTGAAGGAACCCATGGGGGGAAGTGACCCTAATATGACAGGATTCACTCTGCAGTCGAAGAGGGAGAAACTTGAATGAGATATCTTGCTCTCGAGGGAGAGCAGCAAAGGTTTACCAGGCTGATTCTGGGGATGGCGGGTCTGACAGGTCTGACAGGTCTGACATATGATGAGAGATTGACTAGGTTGGGATTGTTGTTGCTAGAGTTCAGACGAATGAAGGGGGAATCTCAGAGACTTATAACATTCTAACAGGACTAGACAGGGTAGATGCAGGGAGGATTTTCCCGATGGTGGGTGTGTCCAGAACCAGGAGTCACAGTCTGAGGATTCGGGGTACACGATTTAGGATGGAAATAAGGAGACATTTCCTCACCCAAACAGTGGTGAGCCTGTGGAATTCATTACCACAGGAAGTAGTTGATACCAAAACACTGACGAATGGGATCAAAGGCTATAGGGAGAAAGCATGATTAGTAAATTGAGTCAGACAATCAGCCATGATCGTGAAGAATGGCGGAGCAAGCTCGAAAGGGCCAAGTGGCCTCCTCCTGCTCCTATCTTCCAGGTTTCTACCAATAAAGATAACTTCAAAAACACAAGGGAGGAGCTGACGAAAGTTGATTGGAAGAGGGGGGTCTATCAGAAAGACAATGGAGTAAAAATTGCAGTTTTGGGGGTAATTCAGGAGACACAGCAGAAATTCATCCCAAAGAAGAGGAAACATTGGGGAGGATGAGGCAACCCTGACTGATAAGGGAAGTCAGGGACAGCATAAAAGCAAAAGAAAAAAACATACAATGTAGAGAAGATTAACCGGAAGGCAGAGGATTGGGAATCCTTTAAAAACCAGCAGAGAGCAACTAAAAAAGGGGGAGAAAGATGAAATACGAGGGTAAACTAGCTAGCATCCATTGCTTCCACCACCAATGCTCAGCAGTGTATACTGTTACAAAGATGCACTGCAGAAATTCAAAGATCCTAAGACAGCACTTTCTAAACTCAAGATCACTTTCATCTAGAAGGACAAGGACAGCAGTTATATGGGAATACTACCAACTGCAAGTTCCCCTTTAACCCATTCACCATCCTGACTTGGAAAATATGTCGTTTCTTCACTGCCACTGGGTCAAAATCCCAGAATTCCCTCCCTAAAGGGCATTGTGAGTCTACCTACAAAACATGGACTGCAGTGGCTCAAGAAGGCAGCTCACCACCACCTTCTCAAGGACAACTTGGGATGGGCAATAAATGCTGGCCAGCCAGTAACTCCCACTTCCCACAACTGAATTAAAAAAAGTACTATGAAAGAAAAATGCAGAGATCTTTTAAACAAATAAACGGTAAAGGCAAGACATTCTTCTATCAAACACCAAAGGAATTTAATGTGCCTGTGAAGAAAAACCAATAATTCAATGAGAAATAAAGGCAAATATAAAGAACTATAATAGAAGGTAAAATGTCACTTACTGCAATGATCCTGTCATGAACCTGAATGCGTCCACTCTGCTCTGCTGCACTTCCTGGTATTATACTTTTCACAAAAATACCAGAAGTATCTGTAAATTATAACACCAAATTATCCTGTTCAGTAGCTTCTACAGTAAGTCTGAGGTCATAGGCATCAGAATTTCAATTGTTCCTCCAATTGGCAGCTGTTTTCATCTGCCATCGGCTCTGAAACTCCTCCATAAAGATCTCCATTGCACTATCCTCCTCTAAGATGTTTCTACCACTTTGACCAAGCTTTCCATCACCAAACCTAATACCATCCTGCGGGACTTGAAATCATGTTTGGTTTGACAATACTCTCATGAAGCATGCTAAAATGTTCATACTATTTAAGTTGCTTTGTAAATCCAAGTTGCTGTGGTTATTATAATGTATCCAACAGACCAGCACTAACATCACAATGTTAAGTTAATCAACCCATTCCGATGTGCTCAGGACACACCTCTAAAGCAGGTGGGACTTGAATGGAGTTCTACTGTCCCATGAATGGTTCTAAAGGTCACCAGGTCAAGAGACGCATGCCCATAACTCTGCTGACTGGCAATCTGTTCTGCTGCTTGAGTTATACTTTGTCTTTCCCTTTCCACCTTAGTTCCAAATCCCAAAGTTTGCAATTGACATGCAGTGTCTCTCTTGTTCACCAAGAATTACTAAAACCATGCATTTACCATTTAAATAAATCTCTTCAGGACAGATTATAGGGATAAAATCCATACAACTTTCTCCACTCTCTCCAAACCCATGATAATATCCTTAAAAACTAATTAAATATGAAGAATTTACCATCCACATGATGGTACAGCTGAAACAAACATGGGCCAACACTAGAAACTGATGGCATCTCTGCACTTGCATTCAGGCATCCAAAGTGCTTTCCAAAGTGTCAAACAAAATTAATAAGCAGCATTCACTTCTGTACAGATTCTCACCATGTTCCAAGTTTTTGGTCAAGAGAATTTTGTTGTATAAAAATCAAGAGCACTAATCTAACCTCTTGGATCTTTCACTGGTAAGAGGATCCCAACAAGCTTTAGCTGTTTTGCGTTGTTGCAGCTCTATCTGCTCTGCATCAGGGAGAGGTCCAAGAGATCCCTAACTTCACCAGCTCCACCTTGAACAAATGTCTACTCCCTTTGGGAAACTTTAATGATTAGTTTCTGATAAGTTTGGGATAGTTTTTGAGCGATACGGTACAATTCATAAAGAAAGGAAATGGCATGCATTTCTCCAGCACTTTTCACAACCTCAGCACATGCAGCCAATGAAGCATTTTGAAATATAATCATCATTTTGAGGAAACACAATACCCAATATTCCCACAGCAAGCAAATTAATTGTCTGTTATGTTTGGTGCTGGTTAATGAATAAATGGTAGACAAGACATCAATACTCCTGCTTTCCTTCTAGGGGAAAATGGTGGTGTATGTTGGTGACACTGGGCTTGCAATCCAGAGACACAGGCTAATGTTTACTTTGCAGGGAGGACAGGTTCAAATCATACCATAGCAGCTGTCTGAAATCAAATTCAATTCATAAAATCTGTAATTAGAACTTAGTCTCAGTCTCAGGAATGACAATGATCATTTAATTGTCCCAGAATCCCTGAAACTCAATGGTCCACAAATGCTGTTAAAGAAAAAAAAAATTTTACCATTCTTTCTTAGTCGGGCCTACATGTGGCTCCAGGCTAATAGTAATGTGGTTGGTTTTAAGTGCCTCTGAAATGGCCTAAAAGTCATTCAGTCTGAGCCTAATTAGTTGGCATTGCCAAAGTTGCCTCGCTTCCCGATTCCTGCCCACCATTTCCAAGGCGCAAGTCAGGAATGTGCTGGAATACCCCCCACTTTCCTGGATGAGTGCAGCCCCAGCAACAGTCAAGAAGCTTGACAAGATGTAGGACAAAACTGTCCATCGAGTGGCACCATATCCTCAAAAATTCTCTCCCTCAACCATTGATGCACAATGGCAGCAGTGTGTACCATTTAGAAGATGCATTGCAGAAATTCACCAAGGCTTCTTGGACAGCACCTTCCATACCCTCAACCTTTACTATCTACGAAAATTCATTCATAATATGTGGATGTATTTTGCAAAGCCAGCATTTATTGCCCATCCCTAACTGCCATCAAGAGGATAGTGGCTGTAATGTATCAGAAAACTGCTCTGGGTCCGAAATCACATGCAGGCCAGATCAGATGGTTTCCTTTGCTGTAAATATTTATTGAAAACATAGTAGCAACGTGGTATTTTCATTGGCAGCATTACTGATAACATGACTTTTGGCTCCTCACTGATGGAATGAGCCAAATTTAAATTCCCCAGTTGCTGTGGTTGTCTATGCCTCTGGGCTTTCTGTACAGTAACATTAGCATTAAGCTACCATACCATTTGCTTTTAGCGTGGAATTATTTAATCAAAATAAACCACTTATTTAAGGAAACAATAAAGCAACATTTAGACCAGAGAAAGATGAACTTTGTCAGGAAACTGCAGGAATTCATTTTGGATTGCTGAAGAACCTATACAAAATTGCTGCCGGCTATATGGTATACTGACCATCAAAACCCCTGTATCTACAGTTCAGCACCTTCTTCTTATTTCATTATTATTATATTTGTGAACTCACCACCATGGGATGCACCAACATAACCAACAACTGTAATGCCAAGGCTTTGTCCATCTCTCTTGAGTTCAACATTTTCAACGTCATAATCATTTTCAGCAATCTATAAAAATCAAACACATTTTAGGAATGAATTTTTATACAAAATTTAGCTTGTATGTAACATCAAGATATATTGTTTAAAACAAAGAGGCTGTTCATCAAACTATCCTTCAAATACTTCGTTTGGGAGAATTATACAGCAAAAAAGTCTTACCTCCATTACTAAAGAATGGAACACTTTTGCTCATGTGTTAGTCTGTAGGTAATATATCTCAAGTGCTAATGGGCAGACTTTTTTTTTAAATTAACAATTTTGGTACACAGAATAGACATGGTCCAATAAAGAACTGTTTAATTTTTGGCAAAGATGTGGATTGAAATCCTGGAAATTTTTTTTAAGGCTCTCTCAATGTGGATAAGTTGGGCAAATTGACTTTTTTGTTTTAAAAAGGATCTTGTTGTTTGGTTTAAAAAGTTGTCAGTTGTCTCAACTGTTGTAATAGAAAATAACCATCAAAACCCCTGTTGCTTCTTGTTTCTCTTAGTAACCTACGATGCACATCATTCCAGGTCCAAGAATTTATCCACTTTCACAGATGAAATGCTTTAGTGCTTTGGCTCTCGTTATGTAAATTCCATCTAACATTTCACACTCCTCATCCTGAATGCAATGTCTGTATCATCCCCATATTTTGTTAAAACAAAAGTAAAGTATTCATAAAGAAGCAAACCACAATTCACTGTCTCCACACAAAAGTTACTCAAATGGTCTTTAACTCTTCCTTTCATAATCCATTTGCTTTTCATGTATCTATAAAAAAAATCTTTTGATTTTTCTTCGATTATACTTGCCAAAAACTTTTCACACCGTCTCTCTGCTATCATATTCCTCTTTTAAATTTTGTCCCTGCACCTTTTATACTGGTCTAGGTTTGTGGTGGTTTTAAGCCCTTGTCATCTGTCACAAGTGTCCCTATTTCTCCCTTTATCCTCTTTGTAAAGATGGATGCTATTATGTTATGTAGTTATCTGACTATAAATGAAGAAAGCTAACTACATTTCAACAGATGCAATAATTAGTTCAGGTAATCAATGGGATCATTTCAGCTACATTAATTCATGTCTTCTACACAATTTCAGAAGTTCTTTCTCATTGGAGCCCCTACCAAGATTCCATGAGGATACACTAATTCTTGTAACAATTTAAAATTACATAATATATTCAAACTACATAGAAAATTTAGAACTATTCGCTCTAGTTTTAAAGTTTGGATCTTGAAATTGATTTTTATCCCGTCCATCATAATAGGCACAAGATTTCTAGAAAATTAAGTAAAAACTAAGGTTAAAAATTAGGTTTTAAATACTTAGTTTTTTTTGTTATTAGTCCTCAAATTTAACATGGACTATGGAAAGCTAGATACTGTTATAGATCAAAACCACATCTGGCAGCCTAACTCTGCAGCTTAGTCCGATTCCAACTAGTGACTTCAGTAAAGGAGAAGGGATAAGATCCATTCTTGCAATGATTGTCACACCATTTAGTTTCCACCATGGATGCCCAAATCCATTACAAACCAAATGCACCGAACCGCTTGGAAACTTTCCAAACTTAGTGGGTATGTGGTACGTCAAGAGTGAAACAAGCATCCTACACATAATCACAAGAAATGAAAAATTAATGCCCAGGTCACAAACTCCTATGCAAAAGCTGAATGAAAGGCTGAATTCAGATTTGCTGCTTGCACATCTCACCATGCAAATCCTGGTCTAAGGTTTACATCTGTCATAAAATGGGACCAATGGTAAAGACTGCATAGCATCCCTTCCTGCAAATACACTCCTTGCAAATCATGCTCCAAGAAATTTAGTTATATGAAATGCAAAATATTATACAATTGAGAAGGAACAGAACATTATATAGCATAAGGGAGAAAAGAAACCTATGTTTGTGTAACAGCATCACATCCTCAAATGTCCCAAAGTCTTTCATAAGCAATGAAATATTCTTGACAACTCTATAGACAAACATGAAAGACAGTACACTCACCAAAACAGTAACTTAGCAGTTAACCTATTTGAGTGGTGTTGAGGAATGAGTGGAGATTATTTAAGGGAAATTTCATTTGAATGTGAAGGAAGAGAGGGTGAAGGAGAGTGAGTTTCAGCATAAAGTGCCTCCCTATAAATACATCTTTAAAAAGTTCAATTTATAACATTTCCTGTAGAGATTGCATTTTTATTTCTGTCTATCAAAAGGTAACTTATAACTTCTGGTGATATCATAGCCCAACAAACAGCCTGAAAAAGTGACTCTGGATAACAAGATTTTACGTAACTCTAGCCAACACAAGTTGGAGAAGATCAAAAGGGAAGACTGAATGTTATCTCTATGTGTAATATAAGTACAGAAGAAAAAATGATACCACCAACGTGAATAAGACTCAGAATCAAACAACAATAACTGTAGGTCTGCTGATTTCGATGCCTTTTCAGCATTTCAAACTAATAGTTTCTCCTCTAAACTCCAGCCATTGCAGCTGGCAGACAATCTCTAGCCAGCTATGTGAAGTTCAATTGTCCATGATACTCTACTGTATCAGCTTATAAAAGTCAGACAACTTTGCCTTAAATAGAAGCATTCAACTCATAGGTTTGCAGATGACACAAAGATAGGTGGAGGGACAGGTAGTGTTGAGGAAGCGGGGAAGCTGCAGTTGGGCTCGAACAGGCTAAGAGAATGGGCAAAGAAATGGCAGATGGAATACAATGTGGGAAAGTATGAGGTAATGTTCTTTGGTAAGAAGAATAGAGGCATAGACTATTTGGGGATAGGCTTCAAAAATATGAAGTTCAAAAGGACACAGGAATTCTCATTCAGAATTTTCTTAAGGTTAACATGTAAGTACAGTTGGCAGTTAGGAAGGCAAATGCAATGTATGCACTCATTTCAAGAGGCCGAGAATACAAGAGAAGAAATGTAGTGCTGAGGCTGTATAATGCTGTGCTTAGACCGCATTTGGAATATTGTGAGCAGTTTTGGGCCCCATATCTAAGAAAGAAAGTGCTGGCATTGGAGGGGGTTCCTGAGATATAAAAGAATACACGACTTGGAAATCATGCTCCAAGAAATTTAGTTATGTGAAATGCAAAAGATTACACAATTAATGAGAAGAAACTGAACATTATATAGCAAAAAGGACAAAAGCTTGTCATGTAAGAAGCAGTTGAGGATTCTGGGTCTGTACTCAATGCAGTTTCAAAGGATGAGGAGTGGGGGGAATCTGATTGAAACTTACAGAATGCTAAGAGGCCTGGATGCAATGGACACGGATAAGATATTTACACTTTTAGGAGAGACTAGGATCCAGGCACAGCCTCAGAGAGAAGGTACAGTCTTTAGAACTGAGGTGAGGAGGTATTTCTGTAGCTAGAGGGAGGTTAATCTACGGAACTCATTGCCGCACGAGACTGTGTAGGTTGAGTCATCTGAGGGTATTTAAGACAGAGATAGCTAGGTTCTTGATTGGTAAAGGGATCAAAGCTTACAGGAAGAAGGCAGAGGAATAGGAATGAGAAATTTCTCAGCCATTATGGAATGGTGGAGCAGACTTGATAGGCTAAATGGCTTCATTCTGCCCTTCTATCCTATGGTCTTATCACATCCACTCAAAACCATCCCAACAGATCTTGTCCTTGATAAAGCAGCTACTAGAGAGAAAGAAAGTCATGAAAAAAATGGCAATGTTGGCCAGGCAATTATCTTTCATAGTATGCACTGCAGATTGATCAATGTAAGTATGGTATTAACTTAACCCTCAACTTTTCCAAAATAGTTCCCAGTAGAACTCTACCTTGAATAATAATACAAATCTTGAGGAATCACAGAAATAGATTCAAACATAAAAACTCAAACCCCAATGCAGAGCTACTTCTATTTCATTTGGATGTGTTTTGTTAAAAAGACTTCCTCTCCACTTTTTGAAGCAGCAAAGAAAACAAAAATATTTTTACATGATCAATTTTCACTTCAGTAGAAATACAATTCCAAACTTAAAGCTGAAATGTTATAAAAACATTTGTGATTCAATCTTACTTACAGCATTGGCATGGTCTTCGGAAGGCATCACAGTGGGGACAAAAGCAGAAGATTTGGAAGAAGGATCTTCACATGCATCTCTTGCTACTACCATTCGGACTCGATTACCACAATTTCTCAACAACTGGGCAATCTGTTCACTTCCCATTCCCTGGACATCAATACCTCCAATCTGGAGAATATGATCACCAGTCCTAAGCCTTCCATCCTAAGGAACACGGAATAAACTATTTAAATTCCAAATAGACATGAATAGAAATTTATGAGTATTGAGAAATGACAAAGGGGAAGTCAGTGAATGCAATTTATTTGACTTCCAAAAGGCAAAGGATAAAATGCCACAGAAAAGTTTGCTACACAAGATAAGAGCTCATGGTGTTGGGACAGTATATCAGTGCAGATATAGGATTGGCCAACAAACTGCAAAGAGACAAAAACAAAGTTGCTGGAAAAGCTCAGCAGGTCTGGCAGCATCTGTGGAGGAGAAAACAGAGTTAACATTTCGGGTCCGGTGACCCTTCCTCAGAACTTCCTCACTGGACCTGAAACATTAACTCTGTTTTCTCCTCCACAGATGCTGCCAGACCTGCTGAGATTTTCCAGCAACTTTGTAATTGTTCCCGATTTACAGCATCCGCAGTTCTTTTGGTTTTTAAACTGCAAAGAGAGTTGGGATAAATGATTCATTTCATTGTAACTAATGGAGTGCCGCAAGAATCAGTGCTGCAGCCTTAATTACTTATGATCTGAATGAAGGAACAGAATATATTGTAGTCACATGTGCTGAAGATACAAAGCTAGTTAGATGAAAGTTCTGAGTAGAATACAAAGAGACTTAGATGTTTTAAGTATGCAAGCAGAACAAAATGTGAATATGCCATCTTTGGAGAGGAGAAATGAAAAGCTGAAGAGAGACTGCAGAATGCTGCAGTAGATGAATCTGGAGTCCTTCAATGTAAACCATAAATGGTAGATTGCGGGTACTGCACAAAATTAGGAAGACAATTAAACATTAGCTCCAATCGCAAGGGAGGTGGAATATAAAAGTAAGGAAGTCTTGTTACAATTGTATAGAGAATTGGTGAGGCCACATCAGGTCTACTATGCAAAGTATTGATCTCCTTACCTAAGGAGAGATAAACTTGCATTGGAAATAGTTCAGAGAAGGGCGATTCATTGGGGGAGACAAAAGTGGGTGTTACCTTATGAGGGAAGGTTGAGCAATTTAGGCCAAGCCTCTGGGGAACAGACTAACAAAAAAAAATGGAGATGATGAGGATCTTCTTTTTTCTCTCAGGGGAGTTGTTGGCCTTTGGAATTCTCTTAACATAGAGAAAAGAGGATGCTGACTCATTGAAAATGTCAAAGGCTGAGTTGGACACATTTTTGATCAAGAAACAAGTTAAGGATTATACTTGAGATAACA